AATTGATGCTTTTGAACTGTGGTGTTGGAGAAGACTCTTGAGAGTCCCTTGGACTGCAATGAGATCCAACCAGTCCATCCTGAAGGAGATAAGTCCTGGGTGTTCATTGGAAGGACTGATGCTGAAGCTGACACTCCAATACTTTGGCCACCTCAGGCAACGAGTTGACTCATTGGAAAAGACCCTGATGCTGGGAGGGTTTGGGGGCAGGAGGAGAAGGGGACGACAGAGGATGAGATGGCTGGATGGCATCACCGACTCAATGGGCATGAGTTTGAGTAAACTCCAGGAGTTTGTGATGGACAGGGAGGCCTGGCGTGCTGCGATTCATGGGGTCGCAAAGAGTCAGACACGACTGAGCAACTGAACTGAACTGAACTGAAAACTCAACATTCAGAAAACTAAGATCACGGCATCTGGTCCCATCAATTCATGGCAAATAGATGGGGAAAAAAAGGAAACAGTGACAGACTTATTTTCATAGGCTCCAAAATCACTGCGGACTGTGACTGCAGCCATGAAATTAAAAGACACTCACTCCTTAGGAGAAAAGCTGTGACAAACCTAGACAGCATATTGAAAAGGAGAGACATCACTTTGCTGACAAAAGTCCATATAGTCAAAGCTATGGTTCTTCCAGCAGTCATGTAGGGATGTGAGAATTGGACCATAAAGAAGGCTGCATGCTGAAGAATTGATGCTTTCTACCTGTAGGACTGGAGAAGACTCTTGAGAGTCCCTTGGACAGCAAGGAGATCAAACCAGTCAATCCTAAAGGAAATCAACCCTGAATATTCACTGGAAGAACTGATGTTGAAACTGAAGCTCCAGTATCTGATGTGAAGAGTCTACTCATTGGAAAAGATTCTGATGCTGAGAAAGATTGAAGGCAAGAGAAGAAGGGGGCAACAGAGGATGAGATGGTTGGCTGGCATCGCTGACTCAGTGAAGACGATTTTGAGCAAACTCCAGGAGATAGTCAGTTGCTGCCAAAGGGAGCAACTTTGGACACTTTGATACAGCAAAACACTCAGGTAATACTGGACTCACATCTGGGCTTTGTTGTTTTGCTAGCTGTGCAATATTGGGCAATTCATGTAACCCCCGAGTCTTACACTGGTCATATGTAAACAGTCAATAATACCATACCTTATGGAGCTGTCAGGAAGAACGGAGGTAAAAAATGGAAAGTTCAAGCTTATGACTGGGCATAGATGTTAAGGAATCTGCCTGTATGCTGGAGACTCGGGTTTGATCCCTGGTTTGGTAATGATTCCCTTGACAAACAGAATGGCTACCCACTCCAGTATTCTTGCCTGGAGAATTCTATGAACAGAGGAATCTGCTGAGCTACAGTCCATGGGATCGCAAACACTCAGACATGACTGAGCTCATAATAGAGGCTCAATAAAGAAAAAGATGTTTACAAAACACACAAGAAAAGATTAATATATATGGCTACTCACTTTATGTTTCTAAACAAAGATATAAACATGTCTAAACTAAGTTAACAATTTATTTTTGAGGTCCACAAAGCACTTATTTAGCACTTCTATCAATAGAGCTAAAGGAAGTTATGTAGTAGTGTGAGTTGCTCAGTCGTGTCTGACTCTTTGGGACCCCATGGAGAGTGTCTCACCAGGCTTCTCTGTCCATGGAATTCTCCAGGAAAGAACACTGGAGTGGGTTGCCATTCCCTTCTCCAGGGGATCTTCCTGACTCAGGGTCTGAACCCAGGTCTCCTGCATTGCAGGCAGATTCTTTACCAACTGAGCCACCAGGGAAGCCTGTTATTTAGTAGGATTTGTATCAGACATTCAAGTATCAACTCAGTTAAATGAATATATAACGAGCACTTTCTGGTAGTGATGTTTGACTTATATTAGAAACTCTGGGAATTGCACAAATTCCACTTATCAGCTCTGTAGATTATCTAAAGAAGACTGAATGATTTCTATGGGATCAATACCACAGAATATTCTCTGTTCTGTTTCCTTCTTCCTACACAGAAGAAGAGGAAGTTCACAAACAGATTATTTCCTTTACAAACACCCACACACCCTCCTAAGTTTTCTGGCTATCATGCACCCTAACCTTGATCACTTTATTACTGAAGATTCCTCTAGATGAACAGCAGCTTCTTTGCTCTACTAGTGATTTTCACTATGCTGGGAATAACTTTCATTCTCCTTCAAAACACTGGTCCAAAGTCTATACCTCTTTTAAGGTCCACAATGAAACATATCTCCTTCATGAAGTCCTTTCTGACTGTGTGTGTATCTGATTCTCTTTTGTGTTCACTACTGTAGTTTGATGAAGAAAATGTTAAGTTCTAAACATGAGGTTTGGTTTTTGTTTTTTTTTTTAAGGCCAACCATTATAATTGTTCATGCTTTAGTAGATGGAAAATTAAATTCACAACCTCTCTAGTCTGTGATGTGCCTTACTTGACACTGGAAGGCTGTTCTCTAAATGTTGGCTGAATGAATGAATGAATGAATAAGTAAGATTACTCTTAATTTCTGAGGCACTTCAATATAAGTTATGGATATGAAAGGAAATCTCTCACAGGACATGAGAGCATGCTGGCAGAGGGGTAGTAGGCTGCAACTCTTCATATAGTTTTATACAATTACAAAACTTCATGTAGTTTTACAAAATTAAATTATATCAAGATAGAAAAATGTGATATTTGGAGATACAAATGGGTAAAGAAGATATAATGAAAACATTTTTATAGGAAAAAAGACAACTATTGTATAATAAAAGACAGCAGAAGTGCAATAGACATTCAGTTCAATTTAAACAATATTTATGGAGCACCTCTTTCAAATAAGTATGAACACTGTCAACTATTATCACTAAGAAAAACTTTCATACATTAAAAAGGGTTAACTTCTTTGGACTTAACTTTCTCATCTGTAGAACTGAGATTTAGTACTCAATACCTCAAAATATCTCAAAACCTAAGGTTTTTGTGAGAATAAATTAAAAATTTGTACTACCTAGGACACTGAAGATACTTAAAAGTTTCCCCAAGATAATACTACTGATGATTATACTCAGTAATGGTTTCTTACATTCTTTGAAATGTGTTCAGGGAGCTTCAGCAGAAAGCTGATGAATCATTTTCAATGAGTTATTTTCTATCATATGCACTACTCCTTTAAATGAAACTAAGCCTCCTTTCTCCATGCTTCAAAAATTATTAAAAGCATTACTTACTTCTGATTATTTTAGTTTTCCAATCCACACACAGAAAAGAGATATTTATTTTTCCAAATCAGTATTTGAATAGAAATATGAAATGGAGAACTGAAAAACCTATCTAGTCATGTTTTCTTTTTAGGAGGTCAAGTGACAGGGAAGTTTGGAAGTTCGTATTGACAGGGGTCCAGGTGACGAATGGTGCATAGAATTTTTAATTAAAAATATTAACCAAAAGCTTCAAAAAAATTTCCCCTTTAGAAAAAAAAGGAATTCAAACTGGACTTGAATCTGGGGTCTAAGCCAGCAGTAATAATGTTCCTTAAAAGCATTTCACAGATAACAATGAGTGCATCGTCATCTGTTTCAGGAAACTTCAGAAACAGATGACATTAACACAGCTGGCTTGGGCGCACCGTGCTAGCCCTGTTAACAGTCAAGTGAGCGTTACCTGTTATTTGCTTCTTAGTCTCCAAGTCTCTGGTGTGCTTTAACACCTGGAGCAGCCGAGGCACCCCACTGAGTTCAGCTACCTCCAATTTATTGTCATTATCTTCAAACACCAAGTTTCTCAAGGCCCCACACACGGCTCGCTGGATATCTTCATTCTGAACTTTTAGGAGCTGTAGAAGCTTGGGGATGCCATGAAGCTGATAAACCTGGGGAAACAGATGCATATTTCAGATACTTATTAATTTTTATTTGATAGTAAAGATATTCAATGTAATATGAATGAACAGATGAAGTTCACTGAATTTGCTGATAGCTCCCACCAATTACTGTGTGGTGCAACCTGACACTCAGTGTACAACACACCCCAGCTCTAAGGCAGTAACTCCCATCAAGGGCTCAGGATAAATCTGCAAAGTTAAGATTGAAACCTATGAAAAAACTGAAGGACAAAGTTACGTGATAAAGGGTGAATAAATGGTAATTAAGTGCATGTTGTTGCTGTTTAGTCAGTCATGTCTGACTCTTTTGGGACCCCATGGGACTATAGCCCATCAGGGTCCTCTGTCCAAGGGATTTTCTAGGCAAGAATACTAGACTGGGTTGCCATTTCCTTCTCCAGGGGATCTTCCAGACCCAGGGACTGAACCTGAGCCTCCTGAATTGTATGCAGATTCTTTACCACTGAGCCACCTGGGAAGCCCAATTAAGGGGACAGAAAAGCCTTAATCACAATAAAGATGAAGAGAACTAGGAATCCAAGAAATAGAGAAAGTTTTATGGAAGAATACCATATTACATGAATGTGTTTTCCAGGACAGAGCTATACAGTCAATATACACAATAGAAATCACCTCCATTAGTAGTAGGAATAAAAATTCATTTTTCATTTACCATGGCAATTGTAGTAGCAATGCAAAACCAACCCTAAATGCAAGTTTTTTTTTTTTTTGAGATATAAATGGCATAACATTTATGTTAGTTTCAGGTGTAGAACACCGTGATTCAATATCTGTATTTAGTAAGTCTATTACCACCACAGATAATTGGGCTTCCCTGGTGGCTCAACTGTGAAAGAATCCACCTACAATGTGGAAGACCTGGGGTCAGTTCCTGGGTTGGGAAGATCTCCTGGAGAAGGGAACTTCAGTATTCTGGCCTGGAGAATTCCGTGGACAGAGAAGCCTGGCAGGCTACACAGTCCAAGGGGTTGCAAAGAGACAGACACGACTGAGCAACTTTCACTTTCACCACACATAGTTAGTTTTTTTCTTGTGATAAGAACTCTTAAGATCTATTTTCTTCGCAAATTTCTATTGTCATCATGCTGTACATTCCATTCCCATGACATTTATTTTATAATTAGAAGAATGCAAGCTATTTTTATAATCAATTGTTTTCACTATTTAAAAACATTTAAATAAGTTATGCAAGCATTTTAAGTAAATAACATAGCTTTATAATTTTTAATATGCTACTTTAAAAATATTTCTTCTATACAATTATGTAAGAAAGGGCATGCTATTGGAGAAGGAACCTGAGGGTAAGAACTAGGAAGAAAAAAAAAGATGGCTTTGATTCTGAAACCTAAGGCTGTTTAAGAAGAGGCCAAATAATGACAGTCTGAACAAGGTGACTTTGTGTTTTAGGCTGCAAATGTTGAAAGAAATCAGGAGGTGGATGCAGTATTGCTGAAGAGAAATGTTAAGTTACAGACTGAGGGCTTGCTTTCTCAGAGGCTTCCACTAGCATCTGATTAAAACTTTTTAGTCGGTAAGACCTTTTGGTAAGGATCTCAGTCACTTGTACTGTCTTAATGCAGAAATTTATAGGAATTAAGTTGCTGTGAATATATTTCCCCTTAGGATAAAGTTCATCATTTTATGAATGATGTCCTAACTGCACAACAGTTTCCAAACAGGAGAGAGCTAAATACTTGGCTCAGTGGTGCATTTCACGTTTTCTATGTATCTGATAGGCAAATAAATGGAATTTAAGACACTGTCTTCCAGTCTTACATCTTCCTTTGTCAGGACTAGGGAGAGATTAGCAAGTCAGGAATAAAAGTCAAGGCTATAAGATAATCTAGTAAAAATAATAACCACAATAATAATAAAACAAAAATAACAACTCTTCCTCCTACTTCTATCATTAGGAGGTATTGGCATAGTATTAAAATTTTTATATATTAATACATATATTATCTAAGCAATAGCTTGCAAGAACCTTAAGAGCAAAGTACTCTTCGGGTCCCTTTAAGGCAATAAAGAAGAACATTTCCACTTTTGACTCCCTCCAGAGGGAACAGACAATGGGAGACTGGCTACAGCAATTTTGTTGGGCTATGTCTAAAATCATTCTAATGTGTTCGTAAGAAAATGCTAATGATATCTATCAATTAGATCTGGTCCAGCAGATCATCTATTTGATCATCTGTTTCAAAAGCAGAAAGGCAAAACTTACTTGAAAACAGCTGATAACTCTTGTGTTTCCCTAATTCTGTCAATAGTTAGGTTTTATGATGGCTGAATTCCTATCCTATAAGCCCCTTAAATGGTAGATTGACTATGGAAATATTTCATTTCTTACTTTATAACTTACAAGTTGCCTTCTTCAAACTATGATGTGAAATGGCTTACTGGCCAAATTTCATTTCTACCTGTGATGACAGCATGGGTCAGAAGTGGCTAGTGGAAACCTCCACTGCCTTGTCCAGGTAGCATGAATGGCTGGCTTCTGCTAACAGCCCTCTGACCCATTCCATTACCCTGTCACCTTTATCCCCGTGGCTTTCAGCACTTGCTCCAGTCTAGAAAGAAGAAACTTCAGACACACCATACTCGGATAAATGCTGAAATCCAGCTACAGCTTTGCTCACTGGAGAAAGCGCCTCCCTAGTGTTTGGCACCTACCTCACATTTAAAAATAGATTTTAGCTATTTTTACCCATTTTATCAATTAAATGAATATAAATCATATCAAGTGCAAGAAGCTGATGACATTCTGTGTATTGCCTATAACTTGGACAGCTGGTAATGACTCCTATACACATTTGTTGTTGTTGTTTAGTTGGTAAGTTGTGTTTGATTCTTTGTGACCCCATGAACTGCAGCCCACCAGGCTCCTCTGTCCATGGGATATCCCAGGCAAGAATACTGGAGTGGGTTGCCATTTCCTTCTCCAGGGGATCTTCCCAACCCAGGAACCGAACCCATGACTCCTGCTTGGCAGGTGAATTCTTTACTGCTGAGCCACCTGGGAAGCCCTATATACATTAGGTCCAATGTTAAATGCACTGTTCTTGCCCCTTTGAATTCAGGGAAACAGGCAGGACCAGAGAAGTCGTATATGTTTACTTTACACTGAATCCTCATGGGGGGAAATCCTTTGGGGAAAGGAAAAAAAAAACAGAACTACATGAACATTTCAGAACTTCAAAAAAACTTCATTTGAAATGGTTTCTAAATATATGAAAGGGCAGAATCGCACACTAGAATTTTAACTTTCTCCTTCATTATTCCGATTCTCTTCCCTGAAAACTCTTAAAGAATTAAATGATGAGGGTTTCTGATAGCAAATAAGTAAGAGGGAACAGATTAACTCTCTTGGCACAAGGGCTCCCTCATGCCCTGGTGCCTTCACTCTCAATTCTTTTCCTGTCTGGAATGCTCTGCCATTCTGCCTTTCTGTTGGCAAAGTCCCACTCATCTTGCATAACCAGCTCAAATGTTGCCTCCTTCTGCAAAGTGTTACTCTTTCTTTTTGTCTCATTACAATTAATCACTCCTTGTAAATTGGTATAACCTTTAAGGAAGGCAATTGTCAATATGTGTTAAAAACTTCAAACATACTCACTTTTAGTAAACTTCATTAGGAAATAATTTGAAATGCAGACACAGATTAACATGACAATAGTAACTACATTATTTATAATACTAAAAAATAAGAAACCATAAATGTCCAATGATAGGGAAGGCTGGTTAATGGTTAACTGTCACATATTCATATACTGAGGTATCCACAGAAGAGGCAGAGCAATGCCTGAACTGACAGGGATTTTATTGGTCATATAGTTCCCTCATCAGTTCAATGGGATTATATAAGATGAGCAATTGTGTGCTAGGCCCATAGTAGTTCTCAACACATAGTAGTTACTACTATTATGATTACTATGCCACCAATAAAAAATATATATTTTGCCATGCAGTGGCATGTGAGATCTTAGTTCCCCAGCTAGGAATCAAACACCATGTCCCTGCAGTGGAAGCATGGCATCCAAACTACTGGACCACTAGGGAATTCTGTTTAAAAAATATCTTTAATGTTATAAGAAAATTATTCATGCAATGTTACTGAAAAAAGTTGAATATCTATGCATTTCTGCTCACAGATACAAGGAAGGGAATGTGACTAGGGAGTTTGGGAGAAATGGTGGGATTATAATGTATGAATGGGGATTGCTACTTTGTATTGTTTTTGAACAGCAAGCATGTATTTATGCATGCTTTTTAAAAACAAAACAAAAAGTCCTCATAAATAAAGCTACATATTCAATTTGATGACATCTATGTACATGCATGCATTAAAAAATTAGAGAGTAAAACCAAAATAAAACAATAGATGGACTGTGGGCTTTTTTCTTTCTTAATTTCCTTCTAAAGCATTTTTTCTTTTTTAATTTCTCAAATTTCTTATAATAAACTTAAAAAGATTTTGCAAAACAGTTATGGCAGTCACTGCTTCAGTGATGAGATTTGAAGTAGGCACGGAAATAAAACCAGCCTAAGAAGGGTCTTACAGAATAAATTACGGGATTTGTTCTTTATACCGTAGGCAAGCAGGACAGATATTGGAAAGGTCTCCTGGATGCTATGAAGAGAGTGGATAAGAATGGACACAGAGAGGTTAATTAGGAGCTGTATTAACAAAGATGACGGTGACAGGGATGAGCATGGTGGCACTGAGTAGGAAGAGAGAGTGTAGGTAGATTCCAGACACGTGTAAGAGCAGCATTAACAGGACCTGAAGACCGCATGAGTATGAGAGGTAAGGAAAAAAGAAGCTTGAAGTCTGTCCGTATTTTGGATCAAACTACCTGAGTGAATAACCACTCAGAGAGGAGAGAGCTATTATTTCAGGGCAAGTGTTGTATGATTATCTAACTGCATTCTCACAACAACTCAGTAGTAGGACTATTATTTTCAGTTTA